AATGTTAAAAGAAATGTGAATAGAAAAAGAGCAGTAGGTGTCCATAAGAAGAGAACAAGAAGTTCGAAAGCTTTTATCGTTAGTTATAAATAGATTAAAAAAGATGCGAATATAGGTGGAGAGTAGGAACATGTAAAATTCTAGAGATGTGTATGTAAGTTTCGGACCAGTTAAAAATGTGCAGACGTATGAGCCGATAAGGTTGTAATTGCCGAATTTCTTTGGCTTGCATATTGTTTACTAATTTTCAGCAATACCACCAACATATGGAAGCGCTTTCATCAGTGGGATTTCTCAGGTGAGCCAAGTTTGACAATTTAATACCCTTCGGCAAATTTAACGGTCTTGAGAGTTATCCGAAATTTTATTACGCAATTAATTGATCAAGTAAAAATTTATCGCTATACAAAAAAAAACCCTTGAAATATAAAAGCAACCAAATACTAAATAAATTGTCTGAATGATAACGATAATATTTCTTATTAAACAAACAAAAAGGAAACAGTGAAGTAGAAAAGTAAATCTGTTATTTTCGATTTAAATATATGTTAATACCCTTTTGTTACTGAAATGAAAATAAAAAAAAATGAAAATTTTAAAGTTTTATTAAGAATCATGCATGCTAGTTTTAAACAATACCTGTATACACAAAAATATCTTAATTTAAATGAAGTTAATATCTTTCCCTCTTATATTTAGTGAATAAACACTTATTATAATGTCTGAGTAAACAATCATCTTTTTAACTCCATGCTAACCCGAGAGCCGTCGTAGAATCAGTTATTAAAAGGGGCCTAATGCAGTATGGTATTGGAAGAGCATTGGCCATGGTAGGGTGGGCTGATAACACCCCCATTTACATCTAGGGGCGTGTAGTGTGAGAAGTGCTATCTCTGTCTGTCGGTCTGTTTGATATGCTATCTCTTTTCCGGCCGATATTGGCTCGTTGCCTGTTTGCACGCAATACATATTAATTGTTAAAGATATTTAAGAGCACCCGTAAGCTGCAGCCTCCCAAGAACACCACGACATTCGCTGACGAGCTAGAGCCGGATTTAAACGCGTGCAGGGCTAACAGTTTGCAATACTATCAGCTCAACGTTGTTCGTTACACCAATTGCATGAGCTAGTGTTGCCTCACGATTTTTGACGTTGTTATAAGCATTTAAAAGCGTTACTCAAGCCACAGTGGATTAGGGTATTCAAATACTTTGTTATTTACTTGTATTAAACTAAATATGAAGAACAAGTTGTTTAAAAATAATTCAAAACTAGTAAAACTAGATCATTAAAATCCTCAAACTGATCGACTTAAATATTTTTACGTAAAATTGTCATGACCTAAAAATATTTTCTAAAAAAATTGTTTTGTCGAACGTTTATTTCTTCCATTTCAATTGTTTATTTCCACTTAACATTCAATTTAATTTTCATCGAGCCCACTCCACAGTGGATTCTTTACTTTGCTGCCAATAAACGTATCTTTCAAGTAGTTTCACCAGGTCTGGTGTTGCAATTGTTGTGGCTGGGGGTTTTCCTCCAGCTTTCGTGATTACAAAGATGTACACTGAGCTTGGTAGCAAACTTACAAGAGGGTGTGTGCTACTAAAAATAGATAAGTAAACATGAAAACAATACACAAGTGCTGAGGCCTATCAACTCATTTTCAGCTCTATTTAATAAAGAGTATTATGAAAATACCTGATTGTCTTTTATTTCGTGGAAATTCACCGACCCACGTAACGATTTCGATAAACAACACGTGACCGTAAAAACGTCGGACCATGTGAGCAAGTAAATGTATTACAAGACCGATAAGATTGGCCAGAGGGCGGGGTATTATGTGTTAAATGAGTAACTCGAGCCAGTTTTTGTATGTGTCTTTGCACGTGCCCTCCATTCGGGCGTATGCGTAATTTCCAAACGGGGCGTATACGTAACGCTGTGCAAGGCGACACCAGGTGCACGTGCCGCACTGTAATTAAATCGAGAGATCGTCAAAATGCCGAAATCAAAACAAAAACAATCTACAGACTTATGCAAGAGACTAGTGCCCAATTGGACACGTTTAAGTCATTCGTCATCGCACAGATCACGGATCACAGATTCGGGGCTTACTCTGTATAGAGTATAGCTTACGGCTTACGGCCCGTGCTATTGTGTTGGTGTGACCTTTAGGGGCGGCTAAAAATAGCCAAGAGCCGTTTAAATACAATCAACACGCTGGAAAGCCTGACACAAAGAAACACAGTCAAATCGATTTAAGTTAAACTCTGCTAATTCGTAGTTATTGTATTTTAAAATATAAAAAAAATAAAAACGTTAAAAAAAAAATAAAAAAATAACTTTCAATTTAAAAACATTTTATTATTGTTTTCTCAAAACAATCTTAATTTAAATATATTTTAAAAATATTTTTTAAATAAGTTTAAATCTAAACAATTCGATTTTTTCCTGTAAAAGTAAGAACAAATTTTAATTAATTTTTGAGCTGACAAATTAAATTACTAATCATAAAAGTTCGAGTTATAGAGTTCGAACTGTAAAAATCCGATTCAACTGCAAAACACAAACAACAGCGTTTTGTAAATGCGAAAACATTTCAACAACACGTGACCAACAACAAACATGAGTGCTGCACTTGTGTGTGTAATTGTGCGAAATGTGTGTTTGTGTGTGTGAAATAGCTGACATGCCCGGCTCGCGTGAGAAATTACGTCATGCGCTACGAATTTTGAGTTGTTATTTATTATTTTTTTGTGTTTGCCACTTTCAACGTGTCTCGATTAAAAACGAAAAGCAGCTGGAGAGAGAGAGGGCCAACGTAGCGTATGATTGTTATTTCGTTTAATAAAGCTCGACAACAAGAAAGCGACTGTTGCGCTCTGTAATAAAAACAAAATGTCGGCCGAGTTATAAGTGTGTGTGTGTGTGTTTGGCTTCGTGATTGTTGTTGCCAAGCGGCGGTTTTCAGCTATTTCTGTCACTCTCTTTTTCTCTCTTTCTCTCTCTCTCAGCCGCCGCCCAGTTGACTTCGCCGTTTCGCTTTGGAATTTGTCACGTTCACGTGTTTTATTATATGCCGCCGACTTTTGTTGTTGCTGCTCGCCTTGAGCTTCTGCGTCGTTGGTTTGTCGATACATATACATATGTATTTATTTTTTTTATTGTTTTTCTTCTTTTTTTTCTTTGTTGCAGACTCACTATAACGGTACGTTTGAGGTAAGTTTGTACTTGAGAACATATGGTGCACTTAACCACTACAATCGGATCAGTCAACTAAATGCTTAAAAATGCATATATAATTCGCACGCAACTTGTTTATGCCTATTTTGTAACAACAATAATATAGCACTTGGTTGTGTAAGTGCCGTGAGTGTCCGATTGTAGTGCGTGTTCGTGTTGTCTAGTCATCAAGCCCCCAAATGTCGGCACAGTGGAGCGGGTGGTTTTACAGAGCACTAAGAAATTAAAAATCGGTAGCTTGGTCTTAAAACAGTGGTAGATTTATTTTGGCGAAAATTGGAAAAGGGAAGAAACACCGAAAAATGGGTATGATCGATCGCTGAGATCTTTAGCTGTCCAAAACAGTTATATGTAAAAGTCGGATGGCTCTTTACACAACAAAATAAGGGCGAGGGATCTACTCGGTATCTCATAACCCTTACGCTAAGGATTTACTAAACAGGAAGTCCCTTAAGATCGCATCATTGCTTTTCATGACCTTGTCAACTTCAAACACGTCCGAGACGCTGAAGGGGGAATGGGGCCGTTTGGCAAGGCAATGCCGACCATATTGGCCTCATTCACGCTTCCAGTTCTCAGCGAGCGTAGTTTGTCATCGATCACTAGAGTCATCATTCGCCTGTCTTGTGCATTTGTGGACCAAAGGCTAGGCCACTTACGACCCAAAACTGCCTGTCCCGCCCATAGTCTATTCAAAAAATACTGGAGTTCTTCATTGCTAAATACCACACGATAAACGTAAGCAAATAGGAAAATGGAATATCTGTTTGGGAAATCCACTGGTCAATATTTCCAGCGGAAATTGTAGCCGTAAAACTCCGGACTCAATCCCACTGTGGCAATCACGTTCGCCGTGCACGAAATAGAAATAACGAGATAACGCTCTCCCTCGCCAACACATGTTGCTCTCTACGGCGCTCTCCATGACAGGCACGTCACTAATTTGGCGTTGGCGCTCCGCTCTCTCGTCTCTTTTTTGGGGTCTCGTGCCGCCCTGCGAGTTTTATTCATTCATTTCGATTTTGTCTCTGGCCGCGAGCAGACGTTCGGAAAGTATCCGCGGTGCGGGTGACAGTGCAAAAATTAAATAAAAAAATAAACCAAAAAAGAGTGAGAGAGCAAATAAAAAACAGCAAAATTAGCTGGAGGGGCAACAACAAAATTGATATATAAATACAAATATACGTGCTTAAATAGTGAAACACGCACACACGCACGCACATTGCTCGCTCGGTTATATGGATCTGTGTGTGTATATAAGCGGCTGGTAAAATTCCACTGTGAAACGAAAGGAAGTTATTGTTTTTGCGGCTGTCTGTAAATTAATAAAACAAATAACAGTGTGTGCATAAAATTCCTTAAAGCTTAAAACGTGTAAACAAAAAAACGACCAACGTAATCACGTTTTTCGACATTATTTGTTTTTCTTTGTTTTTGTGGATCCCGCATAAGAGAGAGAAAGAGAGAGAGATGCTCCAACAAGTGCACTTTAATTGAAGCTCCGAAAATAGAAGTACAAAAAACTGGAAGAGAAATAAACGCGTTATCGCTATCGTTATCGCACCCATACAAACAAACGCACCCAGTGATAAGCGGAAAAGAGTAAACAGGCGGTACACACTTATCAGCATTTTACACTCGTTCCAACATAAATAAACACCCCGCTCTGTGTAATGCCATTCTAAATTTTCGAAACAAATCCGGGACGTACATAAAAAAAATTCATCTCAGTTTGGAAGAGAAAAGTGAAGTCGCCGCGCATTGAATTCGCCGTCTCGCCGACTCGACAACCTGTTTGCTCGAAATTCGCCCCGGCATTTATCTCACAATTATTTCTGCATTGACGTAAGAAGGAGCACTTCCACCATTCCACCGCAACTGCAGCAAACCACGTCGACGCAGCAGCAGCAGCAGTCGCAGCAGTCACACCACAAAACACTCATATTGCCCAAGAGCGGATTCGGGTGCGAAGCAGGAGGAGTAGGAGTCCGGAGCTGTTCGGGGAGCGGATCGAGGAGCAGGAGCCCCGTCACCATGGAGCCTTATTGGAACGAGTCGAACGGACACGCCGCCCATCCGGTTAAGTATGAGAGGTAGGTATATTCAGCACAGATCCCCAGATCCCGCTGCGAGTCAAAAACCAAAACGAAGACTAAACCGAAACACTCACTTTCACCTGCGCGTGTTAAGCTTAAGTACACAGAGAAAAAATAACAAAACTTTAACGCTAATAAGGTAGTTAATGAGTTTGAGAAACTTCCGACCAATAAAAATCAATTAATCAAATTCCAATCAAGTATCAAGACCGGGTGTTCTAATTAGCTAAAATTTGTATATTTTTGTCAAAAAATTCGTACAAGTCTGTTGCAGTTACTGATTAAATATAATAATAAATACGTATGTGTTTTCTCGATACTAAATTCATTAGTTTCTGTACAGTAATATACATATATTCTTCAATGTTCTTTTATATGGATGTGCTATCATTTTTTTTGTCGATTTATAGAGCCTGTTTTTGTTTTGATATTTTTTCTTTGTAAATGAATTTAGTGTATCTTAGACTCGCATTTAGTAGTTAAGTATAAGTCTACGCCCTTTCTATTACTTTTTTTCGTTATGTGGTTGCATGTCAGGATCGGGTGTGGACTATTTGGATCTCTTTTGGATCGAGTGTGTGTGTGCGTGTTGTGTGGGCCGCTTATTTTTAGCCACCGAGCTAGAAAGCAATTTGCATTTGCAAAACAAACGCGAAAATCGGGCGAAGAAAACGTGGGCAGACTCTGTCGCCGAGCTATTCTTGGCCGAGATGGGTGCTTTAGTTTTGCTTTATTTCATCTTTATTTTTTTCGTGTTTGCCAAAAGCCAAAACAGAAAACAAAATCCAACGCACGACTCGCCAAACGTGATGTTTCGTTGATTTTCCCTGTGAGTCTCTCCCCCTTTCCATCGACTTTGTATTTTTGAACTTGAATTTTGTTTAAACGTGTCCGAGTGGAATCGAAGAAAATGTGCGTTGATGTGGTCAAAGTGGGAATAAGTAATCTAAGCGGAGTGGTGTGGCCAGAGTTGCAAATAAATATAATAAGCGATGAGGGCTTTACGCCTGTCTGCTAAATGTCAACGGCCAAAACGTGGCTATAAATATCAGTTAACAACAGCGTGGGACTATCCCCCAAGCTACTCCACTGATTGGCCATCAAGAAGGTGGAATGGGGTGCTTTTCACGTGCTTGTGTTGCTTTGGGTGCCCTGTGTCCTTTTGAAGGTCAATAAGTTTTGTGTTTGGGTCATGTTTCCGTTGGTTCTGTAGCTGTTTTTTGATTGAGCTTTATATTTATATATTTTGGTATTCAGTAACCACTGGATCTCTTGGGAACATTTTCTTCTATAAATACACAAGGGCTAATCGAATGAACCGCTCATCAAATATGCAGGTCCCAATTTGATTGGCCTTAGGTTTTGTTTTCGTTACGTTTTCGGGTTTTTTCCAGTTCATTTTTGGGTATCGTTTTGGTTTTGGCTTTTCGTTTCGGGGGAAAGTTATTCATGGCGTATGAATAGATATTATTACGTATACGTCACGTTTGCCGTCTAATTATACGTCTGGTCGAGCTAATTAACTGAAAAATAGTATTAATGACCGGAACTGGTTAGGCATATCATTTTAATCTTAGAACGCATGATGACAAAATAACCAAAATAAATATAATAAATTCGGTTTTCCCCTGCGGCGTACTGCTTATCAAATAGCACTCGTGGTAAACACGCGTCTTCGTCTTCGTCGCGTCTGAAGTGTTTATAATTTGCAATACGCGCTGCCATCTTAATCAACACCAAAGTCAGTCATAAAAGCGAAAAATAGCAGAGAGAAAACACAAATAGAGATAAGCAAACACGCGATAAAAAGCGAAACGGGCGTGACGCACAATCGCCCCTCCAAAAGTATCTATCTATAAGCACATGTGTATCTATCAAGTGTCCAGAGTTGTCAAGCGTCAGTGAGATCTCGGGTTTGTTGCACGACGAGACAGTTGCTAAATCCCCACGAGAAAACAAAATACACCCACAACCCCATTTAATACTCAGCTGTCTCTCGTTGTTTTCGATTTCGGGATCTTGACAACGACGCAGTCGATCTGAAGACCATGACCCAGTGATTAATGGAGTGATAATTACAGCTCAAAGCCCAATGGAAACTTCACCTGGAGCAGCATGAGATCTCTGAAAAAGTGTGTTTGTTTGCTGGCTACGTCTGTGTTACATGAATCCGAAATGGATTTCCTGTAGGCTACACAACTCACAGATGTTCAGCAAGACAACACGTCAAAAAAAACTTCAAGGATTGTCTACGGAATTGGTTCAAAAACAACAAAGTAAAAGAATACCTTAACTTTAATTCTTTTTGTTTCTCTCTTGATTAATTTAAAGTCCTTTTAAACTTATTTCATGACATGCCGAAACCATAACTAAAACGCCAAGATGATTTAATCGGGAATTTTAATGATAATTTAATAATAATTTTAATAATTGTTGTTTTAAAATATGCGAAGAGTTTACATTTTTCGTTTAAAGTTAAATATAATTTATTGTATAAAACAAACCATTTACTAATTAACGGTGAAAATCCAATGGGTGAAAATCCCATATGAACACAGTTGTTTTTAATTTATTCACTCTTTCGATCGTGTTTATCACCAAAACAAATAACAAACGCATATGCAGCTTGATATAAATAGCCGACCGGAGTGTTATAAATTATATGTACAGATATATATCAGCCTGCGTCGAAATCGTTAGCATCCTCCCGATCTCGATCTCGATCCGATCCGCAACGATCCGTTTCGTTCCGCCGCCGGTCTTATCATCATCGTCATCGTCCGCTCAGTTCGTCGTCCATTGGCATTTGAGAAGTGGGCACGTAGACGTTCACGTTCCATGCAGTCTGACCCCCTATAAACCCATCAATAAGCCCCCTGGTAACCCCCCATAACCCCTCTTCAACTCACGGGCGGCAAACGTGCCGCAGATATTGTGAAAATCACATAGTATGTGTACGGTATGAGGTGGATTTTCGTGGCTGCCGTGATTAATGCACTGTGCTCGATGATTTTTTTTTGGGTCCGCTGACTCATGACCACTGCATTTGATTGCCGCTAAACGATTTAAATAGATGGATTTGAGTGTCTTTTGACCCAGTTATGGCGAGTGCGGTCATTCAATTCTGTTGGGGAATGCGGATGGGGATGGAAAATAGGCAGGAGGGGGATATGAAAATAGTTGCAGATTTTGGATGCCTGATTGGCGTTGGAATTTGAAGCGTACGTGGGGAAATTTGTAATAACCATTTGCTAATGTTAATCTGGGACCATACAAATACAACGTCATCTCTTAGAAAGATTCAAACAATAATAAGTAAAATTAGCATGTAATAGTTTGGGAATATTTGAATTGTTGAAAAACTGAATATCTTAATATAAATTACAGTTCAAAGTTCGGAAAATACTTACTCTTAAGTGAATATTACAACAAAGTAACTAAATTGCCAGATTCTAATGAAACAGTTTTGTTACTAACTTGGCTATCTATAGCATACATTGCTATATTTACCAACCCTGCATTTAATGCACTAACTTATGCGAGGATTTCATAAATCAGCTCTGCTTGTGATTCACTTTCCTTGGAACAAAGACAGCTTTATCTCATCACCAGCTCGATTCGCACATGAGCTGCGATACGAGATTTCCATTTGCACTTTTTCAGCGTTTCTTGAAAATTTGTGGAAGCACCAGCATGCGTAATAAGCCAAAGGCAGCCGCCTCCAATTGGCCTCGCATGGCTCCCTGAGTTTGTGTCTACTTATTTGTTTGTATACTGTATCTTTGGGTTTTGTGTATCTGTATCTTTGTGAGCTGTATCTGTGTGTCTGTTTATTATCGCATTGAATTGTTTTTCGCCTAGACAGCACGCCAGAGAGCAATTTGCCGGGGATTGTTGCCCTCGATTTCGATTCCATTTGCAAACCCAATCCCAAAAACCAAACCCAAAACTGTTGCCAAGCAATCCATCCGGCACGTGTACACGTTTGTGTATTGGTAATGGCTGAACTGCGAAATTGTTGCGAATCGAATTCCGCTTGTGCAGCAACTTTTTCTGGTCTTTGCACTTTGGCCAAAAACAATTATATCACGTGTCTGGTCAGTCGTAGTTTTCGTATCTCATTATTTCTGAGGCAGTTCCAGTTCGCGGATCTCACGTGATCGTATCGCTCACCTGGGCAATTGATGCTTCGTTGCACTTTCAGCGAAATTGATGCTAATCTGGCCGACTGTGTTCGTGATATACCTTATCAGTCGACCGACGAATTCAAGGTCGTCGATCGGGCGAGAACCGGACCAGTCCAGCCCCTCCCACTTTTGTTAATTAGACAGGGAGACTCTTCTATTTGGTTTGATTTATTTTTCTCTCCTCAAGCTCAACGTCATCGTCAGCCGTTTGTTGTTTTGGTTGTTTTCCATTCTCACCCCCGGAGATTGCACAATTCGAGGCAGCGGCAGCGTATTTCCATTGCCCAATGTCGATATGGAAATTTTTGTGACACAGATCGGCGGCGGAAATTGTTGGCATTGAACGTCTCGATTGTCCACCGTAAACATGTGAGTTGTGTAAATAAATACACAGGGACAAATGTCATTAATAAGTGATTTTTTTTTCAATATAATCTTTTTTGGTAGCATAAAACTGAATAATTTAAAATGACGGCTCGAATATTTCATTTTAATATTTCTATATTTAAAATATATATTTTCCACATACTTGACGTGGTTCCAACATAAAGGAATGTAGTTAAAAAAATTGCTTATTTTGTAAGTCTTAATCATTGAAGTTAGATTTATTTGGAAATATGTTTTTTTTCTCTGTATATTTGGACACGACATAGGCATTGTTATGCTCTTCGCGTCGGCAAAAGTTTTATGAATCACTAACACCGTTGAATGACTCAACAGTGAATGAAACTAAGATATTGCTGAATAACATTATTACAGATGTTTGCAGATCATAATACAATCAGTACTCATTTCTTCATTGATGTTAAGTTATTTCTAGAACTGTATTTCTAGACTAAACCGAAAATAACAAGTTGTATTTGGCTTGTATGAGCAAGATATAATATTTATGGGCACAAAAATTACCAACAAAATGACAGAAAAACAGAAAAATATAATAGAAAGACCATCACGTGTAGCGTGCAATCTAATCTAGACGGTTTAATTACCTCTGATAAGGACAGGAAATGCTTAGACACAAACTGTAATATCAATGGCCGAGTTCAACAATATTGGGCGAGCGTGTGCAAATTCTATTATACTTTACTATGCCGACACATGAGGGTAATTATCACCGACTCATGCGTTGGCAAACGTGCCAGAAGTGCTGCCCCATATAACAGGAGGATCCGGATCGGGCATGCTGTCCATGCCTTTGGCAACCTATAGGCGACTGATCGGCGGAACTGCCGTCATGGCAGGGTCGCGGACTACCTGTAGAGCTCACCCTCGTATTTTTGTGCCAATTACTTAATAGTGCGACAACAACTGCACGAAAACGTAAACAAACGTAAGACATTTCGGTGGGCCAGCGCCATCCCAACTGGCGGCAATTTGCCAACTTGTTGGGGCTCCGCCATGGTTCTCATGAGTGATTCTGGCTGACGTTCTCCCTTTTTGCTCTTTGGCCAATAATGAAAAAGTACGCCACTGAGTACACGCCCTGTTCACGGGATTGTTTGATCGTTGTTGGATGGCGCAGCCACCAAAATTAAACACGAATGATGGCAAACATTCTGAGAAACTTTGTCATCGTTGTAAATTTGTTTAAGATTAAAAATTTAAGAATAACTAAATATCACGAGAAATGTTGAACATTTTGGTGACAGATATATCACATATATCTTAATTCTCCAATATTCCAATTTTATATATTTTTTTGTATCTGTTTTTTTAAGAAATATCAAAATTAGAAATGATTTCTAATTTCGAATAATTTTATTGTGATAAAGATGGATGTCGACTGTAAAAATTGACTTAATTTTCTGTTACCAATTTTTTTCCCCTTAATAAGTGCCTTGACTCATGGATTATAGGTAAATACTGACCTGAGTGCAGTCAACCTAAAATCCAAGGCGATGCCACGCCCTGTCCAAATCACTTTATTTGCATTACTCATACGCAGTGTGCACTGGTGGCTCGATAATTGGCCACGGTTTACAAATCGAATTCAGCAAATTGTGCTAAACGCCGAGATGAAAACAAGTTGCTGGCGCCTTTTTGGGGGAAGGGGCCAGTCGGATAAACAAGTTCTAGGCGCCAGGGACTGGTGCGTTCTGGTATCTCTCACCATATACTAGATGGATAAATCAGGCATATATAGTATATGATTTGCGTTTGTTTGTTGTCGCCCGCTTATCACCCAGAGCCATGGCACTTATTATTATTTCGCTCTTGCGGGCACTTTTATTTATTTTGGTTTTCTAGCGCTTTCTGGTCGATGCTTATGATGTGTTTGTTTTGGTTTTGCGTCGAGAAATTGGCATTCAATGGGTGTGTAAAATGAAGGACAGTGTGGGACTTCTCTTAAAATCTTCTCTGCGGCGCTTGGCAACAGTTTTTGTTGGGAACTTTGTTGATTTACAAAATACGTTCAAGATTTGCTCAGCTTTTTATTTTATATATTTTTTGGCACATGGCAATAAAAACGTGTACAGTCTAAATTAAGCTGGCCTGATATATGGAGTGTATGTATGAAAAACGTGTGTTGCTCATTCGGGCATCTGGCGGGATAACTTCTGAAAATTAATTAAAGAGTAAATGGTTGTGAATAATATTTGATTTACGGCTCGATAATCCACTCTCGGTCCTGGCATTTTGTCCCATAAATGTGTGTGTGTAACTGTGAGGGAGGAACCTCCTGCCTGGACTTGAGCATCCACTCCGGATATGTACCACTACGTATCGTATGCTAATTGTACTTTAAGGCATTTGCACCCCTTTTACTACAACACAAACCAAACAAACCGCTCGTTTGATTTTAGCCAAGCGACCACAGCCCAAAGTCCGGCTTGATGATGGAGAGAGAGCTCATTGAGACACACTGATTGATTTTGCTGATCCAAAGCGATTTCGATTCGAACCGACAACATTTAATCCTATGTTCTCTCTGTTCTTTTGCAGCCATAATTTATTTTGATATTGATAATAAATGAAAACAAACAAAAAACGCAGCTAGTTTAAACGCATTTACCTATTAATCGTAGACTAACTAGCCTTTAAGTTACTACTTCTAAGTCAGGCTAAGTTTTGCGCCTAATAAATGCATTACTAAAACGAACAAAAATTTGAACAAAAAACTACCAACTAAATACAAAAATTTTTATCAAAAAAAAAATACAAAACAAAACCAAATAATATTAAATATTTTTGAACAAGATTTGGACTTACCTGTGTTTCTTTATCCTTCCCACTTCTTTTTGCATATCGAAACGAATTATAGCGAAGCAGCTGTCTCCAGTTTTCCTTATTGCACAGAATCTAGCTTAAATTTTTCAACATCAGCCACGGCATACAGCGAGGACGATGCTGAATATGCCACCGGAAGACGTAATAAGACATCGAGGGTAAATATTACAAATTTAGAGCGACCCAAAACTCGCGATTATTTCCGAATTCCGAATCAATTGAAAATAAATCGAAAACAAAACGACTGTGACAAGATCAAAGGATCAAAAGAGCATTAGAGCAGCGCCCGGATGATGACCACGCCCACTAGCTATCACACACTCTCACCCACCACCAACCACCTCCACCCACACACACGAGCAATGACCTTGAGCCATGACGCCGCCGCCATCGACGCAGCCGCCACTTTTGACCCTTTTTTTATTGTTAGCAAAAAAAAAAGTTGATGAAAGAATAATAAATCGAAAAAAAGATAACATAAGTCAGTGAAAATAAAATGAAACGAAATAGCAAAAGAAAAACGCCTCTCAGAATAAAAATCATTACTTAAGCTAAGGGTCTTATTAAAAGCCCACTATCTAAACCCGAAATGGGTCCTCAGAAAAGCTCATTTTTAAGCGATTAACCAGACAATCTTTACAACCTCTGTCCACAGCAAGATCCGCTATCCCATCGAATTATTGAGAAGCGGAGACGAGATCGCATGAACTCCTGCCTGGCGGATCTATCCCGCCTCATTCCGCCGCAGTACCAGCGCAAGGGGCGTGGCCGGATCGAAAAGACCGAGATCATCGAAATGGCCATCCGGCACCTGAAGCACCTGCAGAGCGAGTGCCAGCAGAAGGAGAGCGACTACCGGAGTGGCTACATGGACTGCATGAAGGAGGCGGCCAAGTTCCTGTACGACGTCCACATGCAGGACTTCTGCCACCGACTGTTGGGTCGTCTGCAGGAGCACATCGACGAGATGTTCAAGAGTGAGTTCATAAATATATTATGGGTAGATCGATTTTTGTATTTTACTTTGTCAATTCAACCACTAATGATATGAAAAGTGGGATAGTTTTTACTTTCTTAACTATCGCGCTAATCTAAAAATACTCAAAAATCGAACTATTCAATTTTGTAATACCAGTGATACCCAGATCCTTACTAACTAGTTTTAAATCCTCCCCAGCTGACTGTTACAAGTCGACGCGCAGCTGCCACATGCCGGATAATGTGAGCGCCTCCAGTGGCAGTCCCCACCAGGCGTACCACCCACCTCTGTGCCACCTGCGCGACATGCTGGCCACCTCGGCGTCGGATGTGGAGCACAGTCAGGACCACAACGATGTCAAGGACCTGAGTTTCCGGAACCATCTCAACCAGCTGCAGCGGAGTCAGCAGGCGGCGGCAGTGGCAGCAGCAGCAGCAGCCGCAGCGGTTGCAGTGGCCAATGGCAGTTCGCCGGGGTCCAGCGCTGGACTGGACTCCAAGGTCCCATTGACCAACGGTGGCGGCAATGGTGGTGCAGCGCCAGCCGGTGACAATGTGCCCAGCAATTCCACGGGCAATGGAGCATCAGCAGCGACGGCCGGGGGAAATAGCAACAGCAGCGGCAGTAACAGTAGCAACGCAGCTAGCTCCACCACATGTCCCCCTGTTGGAGGAGCCTGTGCCCCCAAGATCACACCACTGGCCGCCCACCAGCAGCCCCATCAGGCGCCAGTGATAACGTCCACGGCCCCGCATCACCATCTCCACCACACGGACAGCAGTCACCACGACTTTGAGTCGTCCAGGGAGCCGATCCTCCACACCGACACCTCCAACATGCACTCGCCACCGCCCAGGGATCTGCTCCTTCAGCAGAATCCTCATCTGGCCCACAGCCATCACACACAGGACAGCCTGATGTCCGTGAGGATGCGCAACTACTCGGAGTCCTCGCACGAGGTGGAGCACAACAACAACTACAAGTACAAGAACCACATCAAGGAGCGCTTTGTCCACGAGCTCCACGACGAGGAGACGAGCAGCGAGCACTGTCCAGTGGCAGCCCATCTGCAGAGCGATCACTCCCACTTGCAGGCCTTGTCGGAGCACTCGAAGGATGGCACGGAACCGGAAATAGCCCCGATCATGGCCAAAAAGCGGAAGCTGGCCGAGGCGGCGGCCAATGGGGAGATACCGCTGGAGGTTCACACGGATTCGGGCAGCGGGGCTGCCAATCCCTCCAATCGGCCGGACAAACCCTCTCCGTCGTTCAATTTTAGCGACATCAAGGACATCAAGGCGGAGCTGCACAACGGCAACTCCAACTCCAGTCCGCTGTTGGCCAAACTGAGTGCGGCGGCAGCTGCCGGTGGCCAGTTGAGTACTCCCAGCAGCACCACCGCTCCACTGCCACCGAGGCACTCCTTCACCGTCCCCATATTCGCGCTTCACGGCCAGGGCAACTACTACGTGCCCCTTAACGTGGACTACAACGCCTTGGTGCCCTTCCTCAATGGGATGGATCTACTGGAGAAGAGCTACACCAGCATGCCCGTGGTGCATCCCATAAACATTAATGTGAACTTTATGCCCACTTCGCCGTCGGCATCGTTTTTGGCTGCCGCTGCAGCCGCCGCCGTGGCCGTTGGCAAACAACAACAACAACAACAACAGCAGGCGGTTGTGGCCGTCGGAGCGGGACTGCCTCTGTCCACAAACTCGGCGGCGGCCCAGGCAGCCGCTGTGGCCGCTGCGGCGGTGGCCAAGGCCAAACTGGAGCAGGCCATGAACCAGAGTTGGTAGAACCAAGAAAAATCTGGCGACGGGTCGACAGATGGAACAACTCTACCTCAGTACTTCTGTGAATAATCATCAAATGATTAATCTCAACACAAACACACTAAGCGACATCTGCGCCCAAGTATACATGCATGCAAAAAAACAAAAAAGATTATGGAAGGGGAGAAGGAGAAAGCGAATTCATTGGGGTGCTTCTGAAATCTCTGGGGACTTTAATACCACATCCACATGTCTTTAATTTCTTTATTGTGCCCTCAATTTGCAGTGAAATTATCAAATTTTGTATAGCCATCCAGATTGTGAGAGATAGACAATTCTACTTGCCAGGAGAATCTCTTTCAAATAAGTAGAAGGGATTATGGAAAAGCTGTTATTAAGAAAGTGGTGACCAGAATGTATATTTCAGTACAGTATAGATTTTGTATTCAAATCAGATTTGTAAGCATAATTGTAAGAACTGTCGGATTACATGGTGTATATTTTTGTTTCTTGATAAAAACAGTTCCGTGCTAATTTTTTAAAAATAAACAAATTGATCTGAATACACTGTAAAGTTTTGCCTAATATTGTATTGCCCACTTGAAGACAACTTAACAATATTAATTATTTAGAGATTTCAGAAATAACCATTCAAATGATTTTGGATTTGTTTGAAATACAGAGGTAGCCAGGAGCAACCTTAAAGGTTGGACACCTAATAGAGAAATATTTTCCAATTGGTAAATGAAGAGGGGAAAACATTTAGAGTAGATTAGTTGTTAACTATTTTGAACAAAGCATAAATGTCTATTATAGCGCCATGCATTAAAGAACTATGGAAAAACATATATGTCGTGTGCAGATTAATAGAATGTTTATGATGCCAAGAGCCAGTCCCACGTAAAAAATCTAATGGATTTTAAAACAAAACTAAATGTGAATTAAATGTATTTTCTAGAGGTTTAACGTTTTTTGCAATTTAAATAAGTGTTGTGGTTTCAAATCAGGTAGTCAGATAGCCAAGTGACTCCCGTCAAACAAACAAAAAGTAATCTATACAAAAAAAGATTTATTGATAAACACATATATATAGTAAACCACTAGTCAAAGAACTTGAACGAAGACGTAAAAACAAAATAAGAGAAAAACAAATCAGAAAATTATATATTCTATGTGTAAATACTATTAGCAAGCAAATTGTCCTTTGTTTAAGTTTGTATTTTAGTGACAAATTATGTTAAGTTGGTTCGTTAATACGTGAAAAAACAACAAAATATTTGAAAAAATCCAAAAACTTTTATATTGAAGAAATGCGCCATGTTTCATTCTCGAAATGCGGTTTTATTTTAGTTATCATTAATATTATTAATACTACTACTACTACTGTAAAACACCTAAGTTGGTTGTTTCTTTGTGTTTTCGTTATTCAACAAATTAAATGCAAATTCAAGATTTGTTTACCTGTTTCCAATTTGAGCATCCATATTTTTAGAGGAACTTCGGAAATGATTCTGTTTTGTAAGCTAAGCTTCGTTGCGGCTAAACTGAAAGTTGATAGCACAAAGATTATTAATGTTTTATGACTCTTATTAATGTGTACGTTTACTTTTACTGTACGGTACTGTTAATATAAAACTACGTTACTGTTTAATATATTTTATAAATGTATACAGATGTAATAAAAACTTCAAAATCAAATCTCATCTTTTTTTCGTGGACATATTTAAATGAAAGATTGTAATAAATTTGAAAAAAAAAAATTTTACAAAAAGCAATAGTGACAATGATTTCAACACTATGCTTCAAACGTGGTCATTTTAACTGTGAAAAAAGAATACTTCATATTAATGTATGTTTTTATAATCGTAATTTGGTTGATCATGCAAAAAACCGTCTCTTATTTCGAAAATGACGGAAAATCTGCAGTATGTGTAATTGATTGGTGCCTCTATCACAACATATTTATCATTTTAGCATCGTAAAAGTGCTAAAAAAAAACGCGAGCAGCAAAGAAAGTCAAGGAACCAAGCCAAGTACAAACAAATATTATTCATCCGATAAACCGTACTCATTGCCTTGCTCTCAGTTATCATCGCGTTTATCTCCGTCTGTTTATCATAATGGGCGGAAGTTGGTTTCTGGAAATCATTGCCTTTGTATGCGAGAGGGAGAAAGTTCTCAGCCCATTGATCGACCTAAACGACATCATAAACTGCAGTAAGGGGATGATAGTATTTATGGCCACAATCTGCAATTAAGAAATGCTCAAATCGATTCGGAAGCGGTGAGTTTCGTTACAAAATATAGTATGAAATTTCCACCATATAATTTTCCTTTCTTCAGCATCCAAAAACAGGAGAGTACGGTCGCGGATTTCTCCAGTACCAGTCGTCGCCAGCACTCTGATAAAATAGCCGCAGTGCAATTAAGAAAATAAGCTATTTTATGTGGCTAGGATGTCTTGTATTTACCAGCATTTCATTTTAGGACTTGAAAGTGTCTGAATAATATCTTGAAATATATATCCAATGTTTAATATTATTTTGAAACATATTTTTCATGTTTGATTACAATTGTATATTTTCCCCTTGGACGGGGTTTGCCACTAACTAAATCGATACTTTAATTACTAGTACCGCAGTTCGAAAGGTGTTGCTAACTATCTAATATAGTTATAGTTATATTATAGTTAATAGTTGAATCGATGTCTCGAATATCAAAAGTACCGTATTGTGTGTGTAAGTATGAGCGGGGCGAGAGTCGAGCTCCCGGTCTTAAAACTAAATTTTAGATTACTTAAATGACTTCAGTCGAAATTAGGACGCGTTTCAACCTTTTGAAAAAGCGTTTCGTTGCACTAAGTAAGGTAAAGGTAACTAAAAACTAAATACAGCACACGTTTTTGTGTTTAGAACTGAACTAGATTCACGCAACCATAGCGAGTTTAACGAACTAATTACACTGGTCAAATAATTGACTGTCCCTTACGTAAAAGCTGTCAAATTTTATATCTCTTTATCGAAATATCAATTATGTAAATGATCAAATTACACATTGATTTAATCAGTAAAATATAAATTCTCAAGCTTTTACTATAACAGAACAGTTCCTATTATTAGTTACCAGTTATCAATGTGTTTAAGGCGTCTCATGGTGGGTGCGTTTCAAGTGGAACTCCACCATGTTGTCGAGATCGCTTATGTATATCTTTGACTTCCGTATATCCGAGTTGTGCACGCGCAGGTTTGAGGTATAGTCGGGCAAGCTGAGCCGCAAGCCGTCAGCCATTTCCTGGCCCATCTTCCTTGCCGTCTGGGCGAACGTGAGCCGAGCCTTGCCCGGTCGCTTCAGCGCACTGAACTGCTCGTGCACCTCCTTCAGCTCGCCATAGTCTAGCACCTGCCACTGGCCGCTCTCCATGTTCCAGGTGAACAGGATGCGACACTCGTACTGCCTTTTGTGGAACGCACAGTCCATCCGTCCGGTGCAGTGCAGGCAGATGGCCAGCGGCTGATCCCGCGCCGAGAACTGGGCCATCAGCATGCACCCGATTGTCTGACTCAGTGGGCACACGCTGATCACTTCGTATGCCCAGTCGTAGAAGACGTTGTAGATCTTCTGGTGCTTTTGGCACAGCAGACTGATCACGTAGTAAGTGAAGGTTTCCAGGTCGAACGAGTGCTGGGTTATGACCACGCTGCTGCAGCGCAGCCGCTGATACGAGGCCTGTGAGATCATCTGCATCTCCGAGTAGCAGGAGCCGTGCACCTCCATTGGCAGCGAGGTGTGGTAGCCAGGCGATATGCAGTCATCTGGAAATAGAAAACAGCGCCATTTAAAATAGTATTCAATGTCAATTGAAATGATAGCTTACCCTCTTCGCTGGTGATGACAGAGGTTGCATCGTCCTCCTCCACATAGCGTCTTCTCAGCTTCTTGGTGCACACCGGTTTCTCCGGCATCACACCGCCCTGCACTGGCATCTCCACAATCCGCGGCTCATCGCGTCGGGGCGAAAGAAATGACAGTCCAGCATTTGGGGACATGGAACCGCCGATCTCGAACCGCTTGGCCAAGGACACTTGCAGCGGGGAGAGAGCGCCCAGCGGACCAACTGGCTTGTAACTGAGCATTTGCTGGGTGGCTTGTGACAATGGCGGTGATTTCTGATTGAAGAGCTGACCCGAATTGGCATTCCGGCTGGGCGAACGCATTAGCATGGAGCTTGAAGGGGGCGAACGGAAGCCCAGATGCGGCGGCGTTTGAGAGGGATGGGGCGAAGACGACGGTGAGGCGCACGGCGAGTTGTGAAAGAAGTGCGCCGTGGGCGAAAAGCGATGGAAGCTGCGAGCCGAGGAGCTGGCGGTCGAGGCATTGAAGGCACGACCTGCCATTCGCACTTTGGTAAAGGGTATGATGTTTTCCGAGTTGTCCTCCGAGAACTCGTACTTCTTCTCCGCCAGACGTCGCTTGCGGAACGTGGAGATCTTCTCGTACTTCTCATTATCCTCTGAGAACTCATAAGCATTTGATTTGTCCGTCATGGAACTGGAACTGGGCGAGCTCTAGGGGAGGTATAAAATAAATAATATTTTTTAAGTGTGTTTAAAGACTAAATGGGGTGCTAGTAATTATAACACCTTATTGAGTTTAATACAGGAACCATATGCTAAGTAAAACCCACCTGCAGGTCTATAGTAGTGATGCCATTGCGGAACTTGGTGACTATACGCTGATTGCGCCTCCGTGGTGGACTAGCTTCGTTGGCCAGAGGCTTGGTTACTGGCAGCGTAGTCTCCGGCAGAGTCATACTATTCAAGCTAGTAACCACAGTAGGACTGCAGTGTGGCGTGAAAATGAGTCTCTCATAAGCCTTTGGCGAACAGCAGACACTAGCCGCAGCTTGCAGCTCATTGTTGTTGTTGTTGTTGTTAGAGGGATGACCTGAGCGTTGGATCTGCTCGGATTCGATGTCACTGAAGTCGGCTATGATCCGAGCCACGACACTCTGCTCGTTGGCCGACTCCGCCTCCGATCCGGAGGCTGTAAAAGCAGCCGAGGAGCGATCCTCTTCGCTGGCCAACAGAGCTTTGGGAAGCAAAAACGATTGCGACTGCTGCTGCGCCTGAAGACTGGGCAGGATGAGGTTCTGCTGGGGCAGGTAATTGCTGCCCGGGCTCACGGCCGATGTGTCAACATCGATGCGCAGCATGTGCATAAATCCGTTGGAGATGATCAGAATGCGTTCCGGACAGAGCAGATTGATTTTCGGCTCGAATTTCGGATCCGTTTCACTCGAGGAGTATTTGGTGTGCACAGTCAAGTGGCAGTTCAGGCAGTGTGCATTGTAAAAGGAATCTAGAGGATGCTAGATATGTAGTACAAATAAATAAATATCACTTGTAACACGTACATGGACCGTCGTCGTTGAGTTTCTTGCACTCCAAACAACCCAGTTTAGGAACTTTAATATATGTGATATAGCTATCCTCGCCCTCCTCCATGGCAGCCCCATGGACGACTAGGATCTGGTGCTGCGAGTTCTTCCACTGCGTCATACTAACAGTCTTAATGTTGTCCACCATATGGTCGTCGAAGAGGCGACGCGAGAAAAAGTGGCGCAGCCTTTTGTGCGGTTGGAACAGCCAGAAGTACAGACTAGTGGAAAATAACATAAAGTTCGATTAGATTATTATATCATTGGAGCGGATAACAAATAACTTTTGATTAAAAAACGTTTAAAATGCTATCATTTGATGGTAGCTAAGCACTTACGTGTACTTGTAGCCCATGTTGAAGGAGTAGTGATTAAGCGAGGAGCTGTCGTTGCACACCACTCGATGGCTGAGCATGTACTGGCCGCAGGATGTAAGTCCCATGAAAATGTGCCTGCAAGGATATTCATGCCTGAGAATTGTTGACTTTAAAGGGGAGTCTGCTTACCCCTCCATCAAACTGCTGGCCAGCACATCCTTGAGGTATAGTTTCAACCGATTTGGCACTCTGTCATAAGGAAGCTGTTGCTTTTGGCCAGCCCGCGAGGAGCCTGAGAAGAATCCAGTGCGCTGAGGGGACAATTGATTAAGTTAAAAGCTACTATTACTTAAAGATATCTAACAATGAAATGTTTATTCTTATACCAATATCATATCTTTCTCTTACATATATTTAATCTATACCTGTGTACCTTCAAATAAAAATCAATTGCTATATCTTTCAGTTGTTTTCATTAAAATTAACTTTAGACCTTGAACTAAACAGTTGACCCCCTTAGTTAATGGGCTTTCAATCGCTTTTCTACCTGCTAAGCTAGATTATATTACCCCGGAGTTCTAAGTAAATTAGATTTAGGTGTGGATTAGTGTCAAAAGCTAACTCACCTCCCTGTCGTAGAGCATCTGCACCAGATTCCGTGTCCTTGGGCCGGATGATGGCGTGGGAGCTGGCTCCTCCGAGGACTCGTCGGAGCTGTCAACCGTGGAAAAGTCATCCTCGTCCGAGGACACGCCCGACAGCGACTCCACGTAGTTCTGGTACTCAGTCTCCATATTCAAATCGCTAAAAATCAGACTTAATTTATTCTTCCTACTGCCTCGACTCCGGAAAAAGGGACCACGTTCCGGCCGAAAAGCGGCTGTATCCTGCCTCCTAGTGCCTCCTCATCGGCTGGCTAGTGGCGTCTGTGGTGCTCATCGAACTCCGTCTCCCTTGATTTACTGCCTGGGGGTCCCAAAATTACAGCATCATTGGTTTTTCGTTATAAATAAACCGAATTTTTGCATTAAAAAATTTCTGTTTTGGTGTGACCGTTTTCGATTTCGCCGTCCGGCACGCAAATGTACTAAACTATACCTTTAAATTGGATGCTAGAAACACCGGCGTTATCTAAGATCCTAACCAGGACCGCGGTTGCCATTCGTGCTAATTTAAAGGGCAAAGTTAGCATGGACTCCAACCAACCGGCATTGATATATCGATAATATTCTTTACGAAGGCGCTTTTTTTAAATGTGTATATATGAAATGAGAACGTTTGAAAAGTGCATTTATAAACGTTTTTTGTTAAGGAAATGAAATGAATGTATGCTAAGGAAGTTTTGTATTTATTCATTGTTCAGTTTTATTTCTGACTGTTGAATGTTCAGTTTTAAAATGAATTGAAGGCATTTTAAAAAGAGTCAAAAGAAACATGCTAATTATTTGCAATTTCTGACCCAAAAGTATAACCCAAAATGTAATTTTGTGTTATAAACCCAGCTGACCAAAAATATATACAAGCTCTAAAATCTGTCAACGTGATTCTCCGTGTTCATTGACCCCAGGGCTTATTTATGGGTCAATTCGCTTGCGGAAGACACCCGGACCCCACCAGCACCCCCTAAAATCGATCCTATAACTGATGCCGGGTTCAGTGTGCCGGGCTTAGAAGCAGAACAAAGTGCAGCCACAGAGAACAGAGAAACGGGCTTCACAATTTTGGTAATTCGGCATAAAAATGTCGAGCATGCCAGCAAAACAGAAAGCCAACTGCAGGGCTCAGCGAATTTTGGCAATGCAAATTCGGGGCATAACCGATCGCCTATCCACGATCCACGATGGGCCATCGAGCAGCGCAGGAAACCTGATGCGCTGGCAGCGGCCATTGAACGGCACCGTGCTTATAAGAGCTGGATGGCCAACTCTCAGGCTTTAGTTCTCGAATAGTTCGTTTCGCGGTTGGTAAATCGGTGTTCTGATTAGCCCCTTTTGAAGGGCCAGTGATATTATATATCCATCTATCATTTGTGAAATATGGCCTCGGAACTTCGAACGCGTCCTGAATTTATATCGAGTTATCTAAGGAAATAGTAGCCGTGATTTTACCCAAGAATATTTCACATATCACAGTTGCTGTTTCTTTTAGATAGCTCTTTTGTAAGCAGCCTAGATCCGAGTGCGAATAGCCGAGTGCTTTAGAAGAATCCTGCACGGAAAAGGACTCTCGGTTTCAATTTATGGGATACACACAGTTCAGTCTTGTCACATTTCAAGCATCACTGGGCTTTGTTTATCTCATGAGAGAAATTTGTTCAACATGGGGCCATTAAACACATTTTTCTACTCGAAAAAGTATTTTTTTTGAGACAAATCATCGTCTGGCCAAGTACGTGGATATGCAAAATTCAATAAAGTTGGATCCATTTTGACCATATGTAGCAGAGATGTTCAAGAACCTAAATTTATTAAACCAAATAGTTCGGAAAATCTGTTTTTTAATTGACTTTTTGTAAGAAATCGTAGATAGTCAAAGATAACTTAACTTTCAGAGTATTTTCTGATTTGAGAAACCTAATGATTTTATAAAATTTAAACTTTAAGCTCATTGAACCCTAGCCCCGCCCTTTTTTTTCCAATTACATTTATGTATTTTGCTTCAAATACTTATTTCAAACAATTAGAGAACAAGGTTTAATTGGATACCAAGAATAAGGGCTTATTTTATTGGTTCGACCAGGTTGGGAAAGCACCACCACATATTAAAATCTTAGGGTACTACAATGTACAGTGTAGAAATGCAAGTGGAATATACAAAAATATACAAAAATAAAAACATTATGAAAACGGGCTGCTTAGGAGAGCATCTTGCGGATCATATAGTTGAGGATGCCGCCGTTCTTGTAGTAGGTGATGTCCACCTCCGTGTCGAAGCGCAGAATGGTCTCAAAGATGGTGCCGTCGGCCTGGAAGAGGGATGGTTAGGTATTAGATATAATATATGTGGGCAGTGGTGTGGCAGTGACCCAGTGGATTACCTCGACCTGGATCTTCTGGCCCGGCTTCAATCCACTCTCGGGCAGGGCAATGTTGTACACCTCGCGGCCCGTGAGGTTCAGAGTTTCGGCACTCTGGCCCGCCAGGAACTGCAGAGGAATGATGCCCATGCCCACCAGATTGGAGCGGTGAATGCGCTCGTAGGACTCCGCGATCACAGCCTTCACGCCCAACAGGAAGGGACCCTTGGCGGCCCAGTCCCGGGAGCTGCCGCTGCCGTAGTCCTTGCCCACCACCAGGACCAGCGGAGTGCCCTCCTCGCGGTACCGCTCGGCGGCATCGAAGATGTCCAGCTCCTCCTGGCTGGGAATGTGGACGGTGCGGGGTCCGGTCTTCGCGACCAGCTTGTTGACCAGCCGAATGTTGGCGAAGGTGCCGCGCGACATGATGGCATCGTTGCCACGTCGCGATCCGTAGGAGTTGAAGTCACGCGGCGTGATGTTCCGCTCCGAGAGGAAGCGGGCGGCGGGAGAGGTCCTGGCAATGGATCCGGCCGGCGAGATGTGGTCCGTGGTCACGGAGTCGCCCAGGAAGAGCAGGCAGCGCGCCTTCTGGATGCCCTGCAGCTTGGGTAGGTCGCGGGTCATGCCCTCGAAGAAGGGCGGACGCTTGATGTAGGTGGAATCGGCGCTCCACGAGAAGAGCTTGCCCTCGGACACCTGCAAGGTCTGCCAGTCCTGGGAGCCCAGCTCGATCTTGCCTGGAACGGCAGGGCTATTAAACATCCAACTACTAGAAGACAACTTTAAAAGTACTCACTGTACACCTCCTGGAACATGGCCGGAATCACATGCTTGTTCTCCACCTCCTGGATCTCCGATCGCGTTGGCCAGATGTCCTGCAGGAAGACGTTCTTTCCGCTAGCATCCACGCCCAGCGGCTCCTTCTCGAAGTCAATGTCCACACGACCGGCGATGGCGTAGGCGATGACCAACAGCGGACTGGCCAGGTAGTTGGCCCTGGTGTTAGGGTGGATGCGACCCTCGAAGTTGCGGTTTCCGGACAGAACTCCAGCGCAGACGAGGCCGTTCTTCTCGATGGTGTTCACCACATTCTCCTCGAGCGGACCGGAGTTGCCAATGCACGTCATGCAGCCATAGCCCACAATGTCGAAGCCCAGCTTCTCCAGGTAGGGAATGACTCCGGACTCCTTCAGGTAGTAGGTGACCACTCCGGAGCCAGGCGACAGCGAGGTCTTGATGTATGGCAGGATGCTGAGGCCCTTCTCCACGGCCTTCTTGGCCAGGAGGCCGGCACCCAGCATCACCGAGGGGTTCGAGGTGTTTGTGCAGGACGTGATGGCCGCAATGACCACGGATCCGTGCTGCAGCTTATACGTCTTGCCATCGTCCCACTGGAACTCCCCAGAGGCGGACTGAGCCTCCGGAGCGATGGCGAAGCCCTTGAAACCCACCTGAGGTAAGGGAAAACACCATCGTTAAACGATCTAATTGATTGCCCAAAAACGCAGTTAAAGCTTACTGGACTGGACAGGCACGACTTGAAGTCTTCTGGCATGTCGGAGACAGAAACGCGATCATGGGGACGCTTGGGACCCGAAACTGAGGTCACCACTGTCGCCAGGTCCAAGGTGATGCTCTGCAGATGGGGTGCAAAGGGTTAATGAGAGGTTAAAGGCTGGAAGTGCGCCACACCAACCTGAGTGAACTTGGGATCTTGGGCCTCATCAGCATAGTTGCGCAACTGCTGCGTTGCCTTCAGATACTGACGAATGATGTCGATCTTCTTCTCCGAGCGATCTGGAATGGGTTTTAAAATGTAATCTAAATACTGATATATGCGGACTATGAAGTTGTTCCTCACTGGTCTGCTTCATGTAGCCAAGAGTGTTCTCGTCAATGGGGAAATATCCCACGGTGGCTCCGTATTCGGGGCACATGTTGCTGATGGTGGCCCTGTCGGCAATACTGAGTTCCGCCACTCCAGGTCCGTAGAACTCCACAAATTTGCCCACCACGCCCAGCTGACGAAGGTGCTTGGTAATGGTCAGCACCAAATCGGTGGATGTCACCAGCGGACTCAGTTTGCCCTCCAGTTTGTAACCAATGACCTCGGGCAGCAGCATGGAAATGGATTGTCCCAGCATCACAGCCTCCGCCTCGATGCCACCCACTCCCCAGCCCAAAACTCCCAGTCCATTGATCATCGTGGTGTGGGAATCCGTGCCCACCACACTGTCGGGATACAGGATCTTGGAGCCGTCGGTGGTGTCGTTTTCGAACACCACACGGGCCAGGTACTCCAGATTCACCTGGTGGACAATGCCAGAGCCAGGTGGCACGATCAGCATGTTGTTGAAGGCCTTAGCGCCCCACTAAGTTACAAAAATTTCCATATATGTAAGTAAGCTTTTGAGAATATTAAGTAAAGGAATCTACCTTCAGGAAGGTGAACCGCTCCTTGTTGCGCTCAAACTCCAAAGTCTGGTTCTTGGTCAGAGCATCGGGAGTGCGGGCGAAGTCCACCTGAACCGAGTGATCGATGACCAGGTCGGCGGGGCAGATGGGATTGATTTTCTCGGGATCGCCGCCCAGATCCAAGACAGCATCGCGCATGGCAGCAAAGTCCACCACAGCCGGAACGCCAGTGAAGTCCTAAAAACGGAAGGTTTAAATTATTTAGATATTTTAGTAAAAAGTTGGTTATGAATGCTCACCTGCAGGATCACACGGGCAGGCTTGAAGGACACCTCCACATCGTTGGATCCCTGCTTGAGGGCCGGTGACCAGCCCAAGATGCTCTGCACATCCTTCTCCAGGATATGGAAGTTGTCGCAGTTGCGCACCGCCGACTCCAGGAGCACTCGAATCGAGTAGGGCAGCTGATCTATAAGTGGTATTATAAAATGTTAATCCAAATAAACTTAAATTTCATCTAAACTACAGTAAAATACTCGAGACGAGAAGAGTCGTTTAATAAAGAAGAACAGATTCCACTCACTTAATTTCCCTGTTATTACAAACTAGTTGAATGTATGTAAGATAAGATTTCTTTTTGGCAAATCATAATGGCTAACACTTAAAAGGGACATTTTATCAAATTGCTCGACTAAAAGAATATTCTTTAATATTTTAACTTTACTTGATTACATGATTAATACTTTGTTTTGCCGATATTTAACTTTAAACTTTATATTATATGTACTTAAACTAGATTAAAAAAAAATTTGAAATCAGAGTTCTAAATCATCTTACTCAGCGTAAATAGCGTTGCTACCAATTTACAATTTTTAAAGATCTTTATTCTTGAGCTTGTCATGGCCTAAAATTGTCGCTAATGAGAAATAGTCATTAAAAAATTAATACATTTTTTTAAGTATTTTGAAAAAACGTTTTGTAGTAATTGTGCCAGCTTGCGCGCAAGTGGGTGGAATATTAAAAAACAAGTGCACCTCTTTATATAAGACATGCACTTATTTTAATTTTGCTGAAATCAAAGCCCATGCAAAATGGCTAAAAAGGAAAGCACATTGTTCAAATTAGGGAGTTTCTATTGAGGACTTGCCAGAGATAGCAGGCACCTGTTATCAAAAAGTACAATGATTGCGTTTGCCCAGCACTCGATGCGACTGATAGTCATAGTGGGTACTATATAGTGGTAGCCATTAAAGAAAGCCCTCACCTCAGACCCACGATTTTCGACCACGCGGGCTCCAGTGAAAACATTCCACTGGTTTGGAGACAATTGGGAAGCATAAGCATCGCACGATTCAAAATCAGCAGATTATTGTAGTTATAATCCGCTGATAAGTGGGCACGTTAAAATCAAATACAAATGGAGACAAAATTGGGAGGCACACGGTTCGTTATCACCGGTAGACGAGCCCCATTATGAGGCGATCACTGGTGATAACTTTCGCTTTCGCGAATAGAAAACTATAGAAAAGCTACTTAAAGCTGTGCGAGCACCTCACAATTGACACCGACTGACTTGCAAATTAAGGTGCTCGCCGAGTCTCTTCTTTTTCGGGGTCAAACTCCGACTTCAACAGGTGCTACTGTGGACTTGATTCCCGGTTTAGCTCTGCATATTTACCCTAGTTTACATCCCACCACGTCGACAGACACTCCCACATTTAAAGCCTTTCCAGAAAGCCTTGGCCACTTACCATATTTGCTGTCGATGGAGGCGAGGTCAAAGTACTTGTAAGTTGTGCCGGCCTGCGAGAAAGTTTTCTCAAACTGACCGAACGGATTGGCGCCTGTGGTGGTACGAAGAGGTTACATAAGCCGCAGGATATGTGGCAGTCAGTCCCAGGAACTGGAACTCCGGACTGGCAACCTACCTGACATCTTATTGGGACTCTTTACTGAACTTATTCCGGACGAGCAAAGCAAGAAACTGATTGGATAGGCGAGTCGGGCTGAAACTGGCCAGCCCTCGGGTTATATCGATATAGCTAGCGATGGCAGCCTATATCGCCAGTCAGATCGGGGGTGTATTTTTTGTGCCCGCGCACTTTAAACGTTGTGGGTGAAATAAATAGATGTTATCAAGTTGTATATTTGAAAGCCCATTTAAGCTGTTATGTTTAACCCGACCAATAAGTCGGCTACTTAATATTCATCATACTTAAACCAATAATCTTTCTTATTCTCTATATTTATTTAAAATCTATGTATTTCATTTCAATGAATGACGAAGGATGCGTTCGTAAGACTCTGCAATGGTGGCCCAATCCCGAGAACGAAAAAGAAGCTTTTCAAAATTAAAATGGTTCCCGCCAAAATTCATTAAAATCGATTGTAAACTGTCCGATTGATAGTTCGATTATGAAGTACATGGTGTCGTTTTCCAGTACTGGCATTTTAGCGACATTGTTTTTACACCCGCACATTCAATAAGGGATATGTTAAAATGTTACGAAAACGATGATGAGAAAATCGTTTCGTCGTCTTCGTCGTTTCCCGCCAAACATCGATAACCGATGTTTTGAAAACATCGATATTATCTATCTTGGCATAACTATGTTTCCACCTCTAATACACGCGCACGTTGTTTTCTTTAAATTTACGAAATTAATATGAATTTGCCGGGGAAAATGGAAGTGGAAAAGGACAAGCTTCGTCAGATGCACTGTGAATTTAATCCGTTGTCGCGTTGCGATGGTTCTGTGATGTACAGCCAGGGTATGACGGAGTTCTTAACTGGGATTTGGCCAAACCGGCTAAAGAGTCTTACCAATTCTAGGTGCCACAGTGGTTATAGCCGCAGTTCTGGGTCCGATAGAGGTGAAGACCCAAAACCTGAGCATAGACGGCAGCTACTTGGAGTGCAACTACCGACCAAAAGCGGGGCTTCCCCAGGTCAAGGAGCGGATTCGTGAGGCTGCCATTCGGGATGTTCTGGAGCTGGCCCTCCTGGCTGAGGCCCATCCGCGTTCCAAGATGTCTGTGCAGGTCCAGGAGCTGGAGGATCGTGGCAGCGTAGGAGACAGAACTTACCTCCATCCATGAGATTTGTATTAATGGTTATTGCCTCCAACAGGTTGATGCATGTGCCGTGAATTCAGCCTGTCTAGCCATGCTCATTGGCGGCCTGCCCCTGAAATGCAGCTTTGCGGCCGTCCACTGCATCATTAACGAGCAGGGGGAGTACGTACTGGATCCAGATCAAAGTGAAACACTCCACCAGCGTGCCAGCTTCACCTTCGCCTTTGATTCCGTAGAGGGAAACCTGCTCCTGGTGCAGACAAAGGGAGCCTTCAAAATAGCCCAGTTCAACGATATCGAGTGCCTTTGCCGGGCGGCCAGTGCTGAGATCTTCCATTTCTATCGCAGCCAGATAGCCAAGTACCATGGCAGAAGCGAGGCGATATCAGAGCAGAAGGAGGAGGCCTCCGCCATGGAGACGTGATGATATAGCAACCAAGACTACCTACGATTAAAGCTCGATTTATTGTATTAACTGTCTGTTGTGGAAGGCTGTTATGCTGCTTAACTCGAGTGGCGTGCCTTTAAGCACCTGGGAGTTGGATTCCTCAATGCGGACCGCCACAAAGTCACCTATTCCAAAGGATCTCCTAGCTCTGGGATCTCCGGTTATGGGCAAATCCATAGCAGGAACGATCACCTTGATATTGGCATCATTGCGACCAAACCAATGGGCATCGGAGCGCTTGCTTTTGCCTTCAACTAAGATCAGCTGCTGCTGGCCCTCCATTTTGCTGTGTAACTGGGTAGCTCCCTCTCGGAAAGCTTGCACCATGCGCTGCAGACGCGCATTCTTCACATTTATGGGCACATCATCCTTGTAGCGACGATGGGCTGTGGTCTTTTCCCGCATGCTATAGGCGAACAGATAGGCCACATTGTACTGCACCTGCTGTATGAGGGATACGGTGTCTTGGAACTCCTCCTCTGTTTCGCCGCAAAAGCCGCAGATGAAGTCACTGGAGAGACCCACGTTGGGTAGGAATTGCCTGATGTGCTGCACAAGTTCCAGATAAGCTTCTCTGCTGTAACCGCGCCGCATCCTCTCCAGAACTTGCGTGTTACCCGATTGTGCTGGCAAGTGCAGTTGCTTGCACACATTCGGATGATCTCTTATGACCTTTAGTACTTCGTCGGAGAAATCCTTCGGGTGCGGTGAGGTAAAACGGATGCGCATCTCGGGAACAGCTTGAGCCACGGCTCGGAGTAACTCGGCAAAGGGAGTGCCACCGATTTTGGGTTTGTAAACGGTGCTGAAACCGGGAACAGGAGTGCCTTTCGGCGAATCCTTTCCCTCCTGTGCACTCCTGTCTCTGTACGAGTTGACATTCTGACCCAGCAGGGTAACTTCCTTAACCCCTTGATCCTCCAAAGCCTTGACCTCGGCCACAATCGATGCCAGCGGTCGGGAACGCTCGCGTCCGCGGGTGAAGGGTACTATGCAGTAGGTACACATATTGTCACAGCCCCGCATGATGGACACAAAGGCAGTGGGCGAATCCGAGTTCAGCCTCACGGGCATCACATCCGCATAGGTCTCATCCAGCGAGAGGAGCACATTGATGGCGGAGTTGCCATAATGCCGGGAGATGGCCAGCAGTCGGGGCAAATCCTTGTAGCTATCCGGTCCAGCGATCACATCCACACACTGCTCCTGCTCCAGCAGCTTCTCCTTCAGCCGCTCGGCCATGCAACCAAGCAGCGTCAGCTGGAGCGGATGTCGCCGCGAACTGCGCTTATTTTTCATGGCCCGCAGGTGCTTCAATCGGTTCCAGATCCTCTGCTCCGCTCCATCGCGCACTGCGCAGGTGACCAGCATGATGACATCCGCCTCCTCGGGCTCCTCGCATCTCAAGTAACCGCTTTTCTGAAGGATACTCCACACCACCTCGGTGTCATTCGTGTTCATCTGGCAGCCGTAGACCTCAAAGTGCACTTTCTTGCCATTTCCATCGAAGTCGATGGAGTTGAGGTAGGGCACACTGGTGTCCACATGCTCCTCCTCATTCAGTTTCACCCTGGAAGCTTGTTTGACCGCAAAGAAGTCCTGGAAACCAGGTCCCCGCTGAACCCGCTCCAGAAACGTGGCACGTGCCGTCGGTTCGGCTTTGATTTCACCAGTTCCAGTGGATGACACCGACGCAGGAGCGGATGTAGCTCCTTTGAAGGCAGTGGTGGCTGCATCCCGCACAGCAACTGGAAGTCGTCTTCTCCACACGCTGCCCCACGTCCGAGTTACCGCTATTGCACGTCCAGCCATGTTTTTAAGACATTTGCTCCGATTCTACTTTTACAAAACTCTTGTTGCTATAGCTCTTTTAATTTATGTCAACACGTTGTTTTAGGTATTTCCATTATGTAAATAAATACAAAAACTTTTAAAGAAATGGTCTAGTAGTTAAACAGCTGTTCCGGCAATGTCGGAAAAGACTGTGTTTTAAATGCGCGTTAAGTTTGACGATCCGGCAGCACTTCTTCGTTAAGCATGTTAAGTGCTGCAAAATACACAAGAATAAGCGCTACCTAGTGGCCACCAGCAAAAACTTCTAGTACAAAAAAAATCCGTTAGTCTTGAATTTGAAACCCTGGCTACCGTTACGACTGCCGCAGAACAAAAGTTAACTTTATTTTTAGCTAAAAATCCGATTTAATCATATTTTTGTTTAAATTTTTGGCTGAAAAGGTTGCTTTATACCTTATAATATAAATTATTAAATATCAATATGAAGTATTAATTAAATTTTTTAAAACTAAGAAGCACAAAATGTAGTTCTTAAATAATCTCAAAAAAGAGAGGAGCATTTTTTGAAAATCGTACAAAATGAAGCACAGTTTTGCCTTTAAGAGTCTTTATGCTGCTAAAGCATCTGTCTTCCTGTCCAGATAAACACTCAAAAGGACTCTGTCCGGCCGCACATTTGAGGACAGGCTGGCAAAGTCGGTTTAGCCGTAAGAAATTAGCTCGGCCTCATTATGAGCTTATCGTGGTCGGGTTAATAATGCACAGGTGAAGACAATGCAATTGCTGGAACAACAAATGCAAACGTCTCCATGTGCTTCTGCTTCTGATTCCGGACCTGCGGCTTTGTGGGTCAATAAGTAAATAATTGCCAGTGAGTGTGGGCCGTAAATAGAGCCAAATTTGTTGGCCACAGTCCTTAGTAGATAATTTTGCCCGAGATAAATGACTTAAGGATATAGACGTATAATAATTTCAATATTTTAACTTATTTAATATTTTTGAATACCTATTAAATTCTTTATTTAATTATATATATAAATATTAAATAAAAATAGAAACAAAATTTATAAATTGCATGCTTGAATAATAATACATTTCAATCCAAATCTGTTTTCGTCGTTACGTTGTAAAAGTAAGTGCTCCTCTTCGATCTCCAACTTTATACTCTGAATGTGTGTGGTTGGGGGAAAAAAAGAAAATCGGGAGTGGGAGCAGCCTAGCACACATATTTTGTAAACACTTACAAGCAGAAATATTTTAATGAAAATGAAATGAAAATTCCACTTTCGGCCAAAAGAATTTCGTAATTACAGCGAAAAAATTCGGTAATTAAATTCATGAAGTTTCTGGCTCGAAGGCGGCGAATCCGGAGGGAGCCACTTGGGCGGTTCCCTGGCATTCGCATCCTTATAAGTGGATCCTGGTTCCTGGCCTGCTGGCTAAAGGCCTTCTGCTTTCCTCGTTCTGTTGGTTAAGCATTTTCTTGTATTTTGTCCGCACTTTTCCGCTAAAGTTATTTTCCCATGAGTTTTCCCTCTAGTCCGCTGCTATAAATCTTGCAGTTTGGTCGTGGGGATGGAGTTGTGTGCTCCAAAAAAGGGGAGAACTATATGGGGGGAGGGGCTTTTACTGGCTTGTGCATGCGAGGAGCAGCTTAAGCTCAGAGCTAGTTGGGCAGGAGTAACATATAAAGGAAACTGTCAATAAATAATAAATAATTCAATTCTACTAATGCTTTCTATATAAAGTGGTAGCAATTAATCCGACAATTTGACTGGGAAACACGCTCTTGGCAGTTGACAATTTGTGCGAGCTTTTAAATCGAATTTAGTACATTGTTCGTTGTGGGAAACATCTCAAGTGTGAAGTTAATATATTTGTTTTTCTTTGGATATTATAAAAGGAACAATCATAATCATAAATGAAAATGCTAAGCAAGCTTTAAACAAAGAATTTCTGAAAATTATTCGCCTTCTTATTACCAAGTTGAACAAGTTGCATATAATTTAATTATTTTACGTAATTCATATGTAATGAAATTGGGTTTTGTTTGAATATATAAGATATGTCCCTAATATTTTGCATACAAGTAAAAAAAAAACCGGAAAACAAATTAATACTAAATGATTTATAAAACTATTAATTTTATCTTAAATCACGGAAATCCCTAATATTTTGCGATAAATTTAAAACAATAAATAGTAAACAAATTATAAATAAATGTTTTATAAAACAACTAAAATCACGAAAATACTTAACTTATCTTTATCTCGCGTTTGCAGATCACTTGTCCGCTAACCCTCTTAAAACTCATGCAAATCCAAATATGAATGTGGGTTTAAGCTCCCCTGAGCCTCACCTTCGAAAAAACCTTCGTCAACCTGACCCCCTGGTCCAATCCCCACCCACCGAAAGCCACCGAAGTCCCATCGTAGACCCACCAAACCCACCAACGACACTTTGAGGCCCCATAACGCGGGCACACGCATAATGATCCTTTGAATGGCTCAATGCGTGGCTCCGCTTCAGCCGGAAAAGTTTACTTACAGCTTACAGATTTCTATTTTTCGGAAAACCATTTTCCCACCCACCAGCGTCAACCCTTGGGGGCGTATTTTCCGTTGCACATGGGGGGTGCGGTGTTAACGGCTCTGCGGAGAGCAATTTTCCCCACGCTGAGACAAAAAAAAAAGAGACAAAAAAAGGGAAGCCAACGTTAATAGAAAATGGTTCGTTGTCATCGTCTTGGTTGTCGTTGAATTGAAATTGTCGCGGAAATAAAAATTTGCATATTTTAGCATTGATTTCCCCATTTGCCCCAGGGATTCCTGTCGTATGCTCAACGCTGTAGTGCACTCAATAAATTGTTTTGTCTCAAACTTATTTTAAAATTTATTTAATTTGACTAGAGGACTTAAAAATCGTATGCCTTATGTTTTGTTTTATTAAATTTTATCTGATATTTTACAATGCATTAACTATTCCAACGAACTTGTATACAAATTTGAATGATTATAATAGTTAAATAAGTACCTAACATTTATTTGGAATCACTTTTGAACTTACTTTTTGATTAAACAAATTTAATTTAAACAAATATATTTATTTCTTCTAGGTAGCCCCGGTGGTATGCATAATATTTGAATGCACTCAATAAATTTGCTTAAGCTGCGAAATTTGCGCAAATTAATTACGGACGAGTGCATAAACAAAACAAAATCCAATGACC